CAGATTGGTCACGGTGACGTGGGACCCCTCCTGTGCCCTCCCAGATCGCAGCCATGCGTGCTGGGCTGCTCCGCGTGGTGCCCCAGCCTGTGCTGGACCTGCTCACCTGGCAGCAGCTGGAGAAGAAGGTCTGTGGGGACCCCGAGATCACGGTGGCCAAACTGCGAAACTTCAGTAAGTGCCAGGGCCAGCCCAAAGCTGCTTCCGCTCCCCCCACCTGGGCATAGGCACCCCTCAACAATACTTGTCCTGTGCACACATCCTGCCCCATGCTGAGTCCTGGTCATAGCATGCTTGGGATCCTGGGGAAAGATGAGCTGGAGGGACCCTGAGTGGGGATGCTTCAGGTTTAGCTGCAAACTAGCGGTCCCCACCCTGGTCCTTCTGGTCTTCGGCTGCTGTGGGCAGAGGTGAACAGCCACCCTGCAAACTGGGACCTTCATTTCTCCACTTACCTTTATGCAGGGTACTGGCCCCTCTCGGGGTGCCAGGGACTTGCAAGGGCTCACCAAGACTAGAGGGTCTTCTCTCCTGCCTCTGCTCTGGGCTCTCACAGAAGGGTGGGATGGATTATGTCCCATGATAATTTTAAAATTTTGGGAGTTTCTAATGAAGCTGTTGTGTATTCTTTGTCACAGTCAAATTTGAGGGATTTTCCTCCAATGACACCCGTGTCCAGATGTTCTTGGAGGCACTCAACAACTTCACCAGCGGTGAGAGACCCCAAGCCTTTCCCCCCTCTTCATATGGACCTGGGTGGGACAGGGGACAGGGTACCCACAGCCCTGTGCCCCAGGGATGCTCACCCGGTGCTTCCCTGGGAGTTCACTGGGATCATCCTGCCTGGCCCTTCCTGGGATGCTTCTGAGAGCATCCCAGAAGCATCCACTGTGCTCCTGGGATGCTTTGGCAAGGGCAGACCCTGCCATGACAGCAGTAAATGGGTCCTGTCCCTGTCCTTGAGACCTGAGCTTTGTCCTTCCCCTCAGAGGATCTCAGCCACTTCCTCAAGTTCGTCACTGGCCGGAGTCGCCTCCCAGTTCAGATCAGTATCTACCCGGAAAGAGCAGAGTGAGTCCATCCTGCGTGGTGCCAGGGTCCCTGTGCAGTGCCCGGGTCCCTACGCCATGCCAGGGTCTGACTCTCTCCTTTCTCCCAAGATTGAATGCTATGGACTTGTTGCCACAGGCCTCCACGTGCTCCTGCACCTTCTTCTTGCCCAACTATTCCTCGTGAGTTGAGCTGGGGACAGGGGAGATGGGGATGCTCCTCCCTCCCTGGGGCTGGCGTTGGGGTCGCCTCCCAGGCTCCCCAGGTCCTGCCCTGGGGGACGTCTGGGCAGGCACAGGGAGGGAAGCACGGGGCTCTCAGTGACCCACCGTCCCCCACCCAGGGCCAAGGCCTGCGAGGAGCTGCTGCGGTACGCCGTGTACAACTGCGTGTCCATCGACACCGACAGGAACGCCTGGGATGAATGAGCCCGCCCAGGGCACCCCGGGCTGTGGGAGCTGCCCGCTCCGGAGACACCGAATTCAATAAAACCGCAGGGCCGGACCCTGCCGTCCTGCCCCAGGCCCTGTTTGTGTCCGTGTTTCCCAAG